AGTGATACTTGACCCTTCTCTGAAACTCAACAATCATGTAAATATGATTGTTAAATCCTGCTTTTTCCAGCTGAGGCGACTGTCTAAGCTGAAGCCCATATTGTCCAAAAATAACCTGGAGACAGTAATTCATGCATTCATTACATCCAGGCTCGACTATTGCAACTCACTCCTTTTTGGTATCAGTCAGACCTCCATAGCTAGACTCCAACTGGTCCAAAATGCAGCAGCCCAGTTTTTGACCAGCACAAGCAAAAGAGAGCACATTACACCTGTTTTGGCCTCCCTACACTGGCTTCCGGTTCATCTTCGAATCAAATTCAAAATACTCTTGTATGTCTATAAATCACTAAACAGCTCTGCCCCCTCCTATCTTACTGATCTGCTCCAGCCGTATGTCCCACCACGTTCTCTCAGATCAGCAGACCAGTTGCTCCTAACAGTCCCAGGAACCCGTCTCAAGCGCAGAGGTGACAGGGCCTTCTCTGTAGCAGGACCAAGACTTTTGAATGATTTACCTCTGCTCGTTAGACAGGCCCCCTCCCTCACAGTTTTTAAATCTCGCTTAAAAACACACTTCTATTCCCTGGCTTTCTGCACTGTGTGACCTGTGCTGAGTCTGTGTGCATCACACTGTGTTAGTCATGTTGCGGTTGTTGTTGTTATCCATTATTGTTTTTGTCGGTTTCTACTTTTTGGTGTCCTGTTATGTAATCTGTTGCTATGTGCTTGTTCTGTTTGTCCCTGTACAGCACTTTGTTGTGCTTTGTCACTGTTTAAAGTGCTTTATAAATAAATTGGTATGGTATGGTATGGTATGGTATGGTATGGTATGGTATGGTATGGTAAGAAGGCCAGATACTCTGAACTGCTGTTCGGTGCATAGACACAGACAACAGTCAGAGCCCATTCCCCCACCCGAAGGCTAAGGGATGCCACCCTATCATCTATCGGGGAAAACTCCAACACACAGGCATCAAGTTGGGGGGCTACAAGTAGACCCACACCAGCTCGACGCTTCTCACCATGGGCAACTACAGAGTGGAATACGGTCCAGCCCCTCTCAAGAAAATTGGTTCCAGAGCCCATGTTGTGCATTGAGGTGAGGCCAACTATATCTAGTCGGTACCTCTTAACCTCATGCACAAGCTCAGGCTCCTTCCCCATCAGAGAGGTCACGTTCCATGTCCCAATAGCCAGCTTTGGTAAGCCAGGGTCAGAGTGCCAAGGTCCCCGCCTTCGGCCACTGCCCATGGCATCACACACCCAACTTTTATGGCCCTTCCTGCAGGTGGTGGGTCCACAGGAAGGAAGTTGTAGAGTGGCCAGTTCCTGAGGATTGCAGGCAGCTGTAGCACTTCCTGGATTTACCAACTTCTACTGAAGGTTCATCAAGAACTATAGTAGGATAGCACCAAAGTTCATGCTCAATGATCCAGGTAAAAATCCAACAATGTTCAGTCAGGTCATCTAGATGATTTCTTTCTTTTTTTTTTTTTTTTTTTTTTGGCTGAGTTGTTTCATCTTCCATCCAAAGGACTTCTTCATTCTGAGGAGCCCACCAAACAAACTGATTCCCTCAAACAGAATATGCCATAGTAGATTAAAAAAAAAAAAAAAACAGTTTACTGCTGCTAAGATAGCCTCCAGGGCCCACCCTCTACCCCGTCAACTCTTCTGAGCCAGCCATGCCAAAGTAGTTCAAAACACCAAAGTTCATGCTCAATAATCCAGGTAAAAATCCAATAATGTTCAGTCAGGTCATCTGGACAGTTTCTTTTTTTTGCTGAGATGATTCGTTCTTCATCCAAAGGACTTCTTCAGTCTGAGGAGCCCACCAAACAAACTGATTCCCACAAACAGCATACCCCATAATGGAAAAAAAACAGTTTGCTGCTGCTAAAATGGCCACCGGGGCCTGCCCTTTCCCCCATCAACTCCTCTGAGACAGTCATGCCAAAGTAGTTCAAAACACCACTGTAGCATGATAACATATAGTAGGATAGCCTGATGCATGTGCAATAATCCAGGTAGAGAAATCGAAATAAGTTAAGTCAGATCCTCTGGATGGATTCAGTAAGATATAGTAGGATAGGTGTGGCGTCTGCAGTGAAGCAGGCGCTGTACCAGTCTGTCGTGGTGAAGAGAGAGCTGAGTCAAAAGGCGAAGCAATCAATTTACCGGTCGATCTACGTTCCTACCCTCATCTATGGTCATGAGCTTTGGATTGTGACCGAAAGAACGAGATCTCGAATACAGGTGGCCGAAATAAGTTTTCTTCGCAGGGTGACTGGGCTCTCCCTTAGAGATAGGGTGAGAAGCTCGGTCATCCAGGAGGGACTCAGAGTAGAGCTGCTGCTTCTCCACATTGAGAGGAGCCAGTTGAGGTGGCTCAGGCATCTGGTTAGGATGCCTTCTGGACGCCTCCCTGGTGAGGTGTAACAGACACGTCCCACTGGAAGGAGACCCAGAAGAAGACCCAGGACACGCTGGAGGGACTATGTTTCTCGGCTGGCCTGGGAATGCCTTGGGATTCCCCCGGAGGAGCTAGCCCAAGTGGCTGGGAAGAGGGAAGTCTGGGCCTCCCTACTTAAGCTGCTAACCTGACCCCGGATAAGTGGAAAAAAATGGATGGATTGATGAATAGTAGGATATCATCACCCCTCACCCAACTGACTTCCACCTTAAGGACATTCAAGTGGACTCCTGAGGCCAACTTATCCTTTGGTGAGTTAAAGTGACTTTTTTCTTCTGCACCCATCATGCGTCATCCTGACCCCACAAGACAATTTATATTAGAGGTGGATGCCTCGGACACTGGAGTTGGTGATGTTCTCTCTCAGAGATCTAAGACTGATGATAAGGTGTGTGTGCTATTTTCCCCTTCACCTTCACCAGCTGAACAAAATTATGATATTTGCAACAGAGACCTGATAAAGGCCATAAAACTGGCCTTAGAAGAATGGAGGCATTGGCTTGAGGGTGCCGAAATACTTTGGCATTTGGACTGATCATAAGGATCTGGCAGACATTCAAGATGCTAAAAGCCTAAATCCCAGACAAGCCTGGTGGTCTCTGTTCTTTGAATGCTTTAACTTTAACAACAGTAATGGACTCTTGTGGAACATCCATTAACAATTTCATAGCAGAGGACTCTTGATTTTGTATGCAAACAAACACAGGGTTTTGACTAATCTGATTCAATTTATTTAAGCATTTGTGAAGAAAAAAATGAATGAGACTGTAGGATTCCTAGTTTTTCTTGACATAATCACTTTCCCCACAGCTGATTGTCATTCACTCATCCACCTCTCCACACCTTCACCTAATCCTGATGATTTCTCTGCTGGATACTTAAACCTCTGTCAAACATTCATCCAACGGTGGAACATTATCATACCTTGGGTAACATAAGTGACAGTCTAAAAAAAACTTTCTCTTGTGATTTTTTTGTACTAACCTTGATTTTTCTTGTGACTTCCAAGTCCTGCTCCTCTGTGTTTCCTGAATCCTCATCGCTCCTTGTGGCCTCACCCTGTTGTCATCCTGTTCCTGCAAACGCCAAATCATCAGCCTGGACCAAACGCCAAGTGCCGTCACTCTCCAACATTCCTCACCTTTCTATCATATCTTCACCTTCACCTGGAATCCTAGGACCTTGTTTCTCCCCTTTCTCCAATGCAACCTACAAACAACCATAAGTAAGACAAATAACAAACATTTTCCTGTCATCAAATATCTTGTGAACAACCTGGACTCACCTTCTCCCCCTTTCCCTTGCAGCATCAAATTCTTCAAAACACTTTGTAAATAAATGCACTTACATTTTTTTACCGTGGAGTCTGTCTTATCAGTCTGCTACTTTGGGTTAATAAAACCAAACATCATGTTAGAGACATGCACACAGACAAAGGGACAGTGGTAGAATGTGCAGTAGAAGTGACAGATGAGGTCAAGGTGTGTGTGTGTGTGTGTGTGTGTGTGTGTGTGTGTGTGTGTGTGCGTGCGTGCGTGCGTGCGTGCGTGCGTGCGTGTGTGTGTTTGTGTGAAATTGCATTAGAGATCAGCTCTGAGCCTCTTGTTTTCACTGGTGATGGACAGACTAACATATGAGGTCAGGCAGGAGTCTTCATGGACTATGATGTTTGTATAGGACATCTGTAGTGGGGGTAGGGAGCAGGTGGAAGACAACTTGGAGAGTTGAAGGTGTACTCTGGACAGAAGAGGAATGAAAGTCTGTAGAAACAAAACAGAATCCATATGTGTGAACTGAGTAGTACCAGAGGGACAGCTCTGGTTTGGAGACAATGTTAGAAACAAAGCTGAGATGGTTTGGACATGTGCAGACGAGGGACAGTGAACATCCATCCATCCATCCATCCATTTTCTTTACCCGTTTATTCCATTTTGGGTCACGGGGGTCGCTGGTGCCCATGTCCAGCAATCACTGTGCAAGGGGCGGGGTACACCCTGGACGGGTCGCAAGTCCATCACAGGGCCACATAGAGACAAACGAGACAAACAACCATTCACTCTCTCACTCACACCTAGGGGCAATTTTAGAGTTACCAATCAGCCTAACATGCATGTTTTTGGTCTGTGGGAGGAAACCGGAGTACCCGGAGAAAACCCACGCATGCACGGAGAGAACATGCAAACTCCACCCAGAAAGGCCCCTGGACCTGGACCTGCTCGCTGAGAGGCAGCAGCTCTACCAGTTGCGCCACCGTGCTGCCGGACAGTGAACATATCAAACAAAATATGTTCAATATAGACCTCAGAGAGGAGGAAATGATGATGAATGATGTTAGGGTGGGCATGGACTTGGGGAAACAGGATATGTAAAAGGTTGGTGTGATGGAGGAGAATGCTGGGGAAGGGTGAGGTGGAGTCAGAAGATCTGTGGAGAAACAAAGGCACAAAGTCCAGAAACAAAGGAAGAAAAAAGAATGGGGTGAGTGTCCAATTTTTTTTTCACAGATATTCATTTGTGTGTCCAGGATGGAGTCCAGATGCCCGTTATTCAGAGAACGTTCTACAGGAGGCACACTTGCTGCATTGGAACGGACCATTCAAACCATGGAGCTATCCTGCTGTTCACTGGGAGTTGTGGGAGAAGTGGTTTATACCAGACCCATCTAGAAGATTCACTCTGACAAGACCTGATGGAGACAACTGAGGCCTGCTAAGTGCCCTACGTTTGACCTCGCTATTGGTAGAAGCATGAACTGTACACAGGAACACTTTATTTCCGTATATACTGTGAACCCTGAGGCAACATTCACCGAACTGTCTGTTCTGAACATTTTAGGACTTCAACTACTTTACTGTACTTTCAGCTAGTTTGCCAGACCTATATCAAAATATTCAGCTCATCTAAAACATAATGTCTTTGACTTTTGAGTTTTGTAGCATCATCTTTTGAAATGTTTAACTTATTTTATGTTTTTTTTTTCATAAAAAAAATAAATCACACAAAAAATTGTGGCCTTTGAAGTCATATTTTTTGTAGCGTTTTAAGCGACTATTTTGTAAATTTTTACTTTTTACTAATGTTTTCTTGGCTTTATCCTTTAGTTACAATTTTACCAAGATTTTAGCTACACTTTTACAAATTTTACCTTTAAAGTACTTTTCTAATCATTTTTAGCTAACGTTTTGCTAGTTTAATCTGTCATCTACTGTGTTGCCAGTTAGAGCTTTTGCGTATTGTTTCGATAATTTTGTTTTTTGTCTGTCATTCCACTGAATTTAGCTTTTAGCTACTGTTCTAATAATTTTAGCTTTTACTTATTGTTTTACTAATTTCATTTTTACTTTCAGTTTTGTTTTTTGTTCTGCACTTGTATGCAGAGTTTCTCTCATCTCACCTGCTGAAGCTTGTAACTCTTTTAGAGTGGTCACAGGTGTCTTGGTGGTCTCCAGCTATTCTCCCTCTTCACACACTACATAAGGACGGCCTGCTCTTGGTAGATTTACACACGTTCCATATTCCTTCCATTTTTTGATGACGATTTAATTAGCAAAACTCCTCAGAAAGTTAATGACCTTGAAATTCCTTTTGTATCCAACTTCCAACTTTGCTTTTAAATAATCTTTTCTCTGAGTTACTTAAATGGAGAACTTTACTAATAGACTTTCTATGTACGGTATGTGAATGTTCCTGTAAAGTGCCCTGAGACAACTTTGTTGTGATTTGGCACTATATAAATAAACTGAATTGAATTGAAACTGAATGAATTAGGACACTTATTTTAAAGGGGGTGAAAACTTATGCAGTCACATTTTTACATTACATATTTTTCTAGTAGTTAGATTAATCTGTAGTAATGTGATTTTACTTTGGCAATGAAGGTTTTCTTTGTGTGTGTCAAAAAGCCAGATTTATATTGACCATGACTAGTTTATGATGGTATGATATGATAGACACTGTGGTTTTGTGTGTCTGACTCAATGAGCCATTACATTTCTGTGGGATCTTCTATGAACTCCTTTTGTTTTCTGTTTTTGACTGTTAAAAACTGTTATCTTTTTTTTTCAAGTTATAGAAATTAGTAAGCAATAAATTTCCTCTCATCCCTAGAAAGAACACTCATCATTTTGTAACATAAGATGTTAATTATCCACATTGGCCTCCATTTTAAAACCGAGGCATTGTGGGGTTTTGACCCAAGGTTAGCAGAAATATTAATTTAAATATTTCAAATGTATTCCTTCGAGAAATGCTAAGCTTTTATTTTCTATCAGACAAAGCTGAGTGCCAATTGACTTTGCTGAAAGAGGCAAAAACGAGTTAAGTAAGTGATAAACTTTTTTAAAATTTGTAATGTATAAAGAAGAGAAGACAAAAGCAGAAGGTCAAAAGGAAGAAGCAGAAAGATGTACAAAACAACTAAATAGAAGTGAATCCCTCAGCATTCATACATTTACACAATGATCAAATTTATTATAAAGACACATCATCAGTATTCATTTCTTATGTCTCTCTCTCTATTGGCAGTCTAGTCTATTCCAAACAAGAAGTAATCATGATCTGTTCCCAAATGATGAGCCAGTCTAAAATTTGGAAGTTAATTGCTTTTTTTGGATGATTATTTCCTCTGGCATCGGATGCTGTGCAGCTGAAAGGAGTTTTACTGAAACCTTTTTACTTTTGGAGATTTGTTATGAAGCATAACCATGACAACAAGGTGTTTTTTTTAACAACTGGGAGCAGCTGATTAACACTTCAAAAGCTCAAATACCACAACTACAATCCCAAATTCAAAATGAGTTGAAAAAGAGGTGTCTGGGATGCATTCCCATCTACCTGACAGCGGTGGTCGAGTACCTGACTGTCCACTTCCTGGAGCTGGCGTGAAGCGTGGCTTGTGACAGTGAGAAAACCAGGATCATCCCCCCCACACCTGCAGCTGGCTGTCTGTGGGAACAAGGACCTTGACAGGCTACTGGGAGGAGTGTCCATCGCTCTGGGAAGAGTTCTGCCTAGCATTCAGGCAGTCCTGCTGCCGGGGAGGACCAAGAGGCCCACCGGGTTGGCATCTTAGATCAGCATCTGCAGCCAGTTTCTTTGGATTCACTGTGGGAGGGACTGCATGTGGGAGATCTTTCCTGCCCACAGCCATAATCATCTATAACAACTCTTTAATGAGACCTCCTCCACCATAACCCTCAGCACTGGCTCCCCTCAAGGCTGTGTGTTGAGCCCCCTTCTGTTCACTCTGCTGGCTGTGCACCTACCCATCCAGGCTGTGATTGTAAGGATGGTAACCCTCTGTCAGTCTCCCTGTGTCTGTACTCCTTAGTGTCTCTCAGTAATTACCTCGATCAGCTCCCCCCCACCTGTCCTCCAGGTGTTTGTAATTTGTCTCATTTAGTCTGTGTGTATATAAGCCCTGGTCTGTGTCTCAGTCTTTGTCGTCTGGTCTCCTCCTGTGTCCCTCGCGTATCCTGACCTGTAAGTGTTTTGCTGCCACGTCAGCTGTTCATTTCAATTATTAAAGTGTTTATTTATTGTACTTCATGGCCTCTGCGTCCTGTCTGCACAAATGGGTTTGTTCCTGTTCAGCTCAGCCTGAAAACCCTGACAGTGATATTGTAAAGTTTGCAGACGATACAGTAGTAGTTGGATGAATCTCAAACAATGATGAGTCCGGCCACAGGCAGGAGGTGGAACACCTGAAGAGCTGGTGCAGGAAGAACAACCTCCACATCAACGTGAAGAAGACGAAGGAGATGGTGTAGTGGCTAATACTACATAGGATACTTTTGACATCATTAAATTAAACAGGTGACCCCTTGGTTCTGATTGACAGCAAAATGGGGTTTTTATTTTGAAGTGAGCCCTCAGGCCGAACAGCTGAAATACCTGAAGACCTCAAAGACAGAACCCCTTCAGATGGGACGTTTTCAGAGCATTTATACACTTGTGAAATAGAACAAGAACATGAGCTTTTATTGCCAGAATTTGTTCAGTCTCAAACACACACAATGATTTTCCTGTAAACACATTCTTCTCAGGTCAGCCTGACACAGGACAAGCTCCACTTAGATGATAAAAACAGTTCTGATGGGAAACAAGGTCTTATATAAACATTTGGTCTTGTGCCCAGACATTCACTCTGGACACAGATAAACAAATTATTCTCAGGTCAGCTTGACAAGCTTCATGCATAAAGCACATTTGCAAATACTCAGAACCCGTTAAAAACAAGTTCTGTTGAACACATTCTCTGCAGGTCATTGTATGTTAAAAAGACATCTTTGCTTGGGCCCTGTAATAAAACAGATTGTCCAATTAATAAACTTTCTTAAATCCTATAATCCTCCCTGTTTGAGGAAATTCCTCAAATAAACTAATGCTGCCAAATTTTCTGATATATTTAGTGATGTATAAATATGTGAGTGTGAGATTATGAGTAAGTGTGAGATTAAATTATCCATATATGTGAGTTTATATTGTGCTGTGCAGTGTGAATATATGATAATTTAAAACATGGTGTTATAACAGTTAAAACTTAAGATCTTACCAAAATATGATCACTCAGTCATTTCATTGGATAGTTGTCATTGCTCCCTGAGGAGCTGAAAAAACCTGTTGCAAGAAAAATGTCTCCTCAGAACTAGACCCCTCTTTCTAGCTTCTGCCATTTGACTTCTAAGGCAGGGAGCAAGTGCATTAGCCAAACAACATTCTGTTCAACACTTTATATTCGAAAACCATTATGAGTACATATGAATTTTGTACATTATGAATAGTGTTGTAACCAAATTACCCAAAATCAGAGTAACATAAGTGATAAAAGCAAACATAACATAATAAAATACAAAACAAATAAAGATATAACATATGATGAACACAAACTTGAAAATGATGTCTCAGTTGTTGAAAAACATCAACAGTTTGATTCAGAGTAAAGAGACTAATACACACCAAGAAGTGTATAGGAAATAAAAGGATTGAAACTTAGAAAAGTAAGGAAATAAAAGATAAAGAAGACGATAAAGAGCCTTAACTCTTCAGTTTAGTTCAGTTCAGTTCCTTATGGATGGCAAAAAAAAAAAAGAAATGTCTTTATTGTTGTTCCAACACTTAGCTGAAGAAGGACTTCATTTTTATTTGAAAACACATTCATTTCCATACTTCACTTTTCCACTTTTGCCTCAAGTTCCTTTGCGTTTCAGCAGTCAGTTTGGCAAGAGACGGGGAGATAGATTTGCTGTGGCATCTTGATCTAAACCAGTTGATTTGCAGCCCAGCGTTTGTTTTTCCATTCGCCTCAAGGTGGCAGGACACAACATGTCAACAGGAGAATCACAATTAGTACTGGGATTGTACTAATTTGTATTTTATCAACATTTCTAAATTTAGGTTTTAATCAATCATCAAGACCACTTATCCTTACCAGCATCCTCTTCAGCGTTAACCTTTTAGCTTCTTAAATTTTAACATAGCTTCAGAACAAGTTCAAAACACAATTTAAATAAGCACTTGCACCAAATCTTTTAGCTCTAAGATTCTCTACTTTCACTTCCTCAAAATCATTCATCTCATTCATTTCATTGTATAAAAGCATCACAAAGGAGTTCATTCTTACTGTGAAGTGCATGCACTAATCATCTTGATGACTATATTTTCTTTAGACAATCATCTTTATACAGCTAATAAATATCTGTTAT